CTCCTCACTCCCCACCACCCCTCCGCAGCGTGGGAAGGCGTCCTCGGCGGGCTCCTAGGGGCTCCCAGGAGTCTGGGCTGCGGGACTGCCCCGTCCCCCCCCCCCCCCCCCCCACCGAGGTATCGGCTGTCAGATGAGGGCGAGTGGCTGCTGAGGGAGTTGGACCTCCCTGTGGACAGGACCGAGGATGGCTGGGTTTCCCTGCAGGATCTACGCAAGATACAGAGAGAAGCTTCTAGGAAGTGAGAACTGTGTGTTAAGGCTGGAGGGCGGGTCTGGGCTGGCCTGGGGAAAGCTGGGATGCTTTGTTTTTAGCTCTAAGATGTTAAAAGACAAAGCTTGCCCTCTCTTTGTTCCTTGCCCCCCAGATCACAATGGAAGAAGTGGGAGGTGGTTGCTGAACGAGCCTGGATGGGGGGCACAGAGTCAGAAATGTTCAATAAGCTGGAGAGCATTGCAATGTCTGACACACCACGTACCCCGGTGCTGGGCTGCCGCATAACCCGAGCCCTGGAGCCCTCTGCTGTCCAGGGGGAGGTATCCTACTACCCTTGGAACATGGGGAGAGGATCGCAGGGAGGGCAGGGCTCCTGTGCTACCTCCTACTCTAGTGAACTGGTATGTGGTTTAACCCTTCTCGCCTGTGCCTACCTTCCCTCCCCAGTTTATGACCAGCCGTGTGAATTGGGTGGTGCAGAGCTCCGCTGTGGACTACTTACACCTCATGCTTGTAGCCATGAAGTGGCTGTTTGAGGAGTTTGCCATTGATGGGCGCTTCTGCATCAGCATCCACGATGAGGTTCGCTACCTGGTGCGGGAGGAGGACCGCTACCGCGCTGCCCTTGCCCTGCAGATCACCAACCTCTTGACCAGGTAGGCAAGGCCCGTGGCCTCTCTGGCATGACTGTATACCAGATATGTGGGGCTTGGACCATGCTGAGCATGATCTGAATTTTCATTGCCCCAGAAATAAATGTTCCCACTTTTATCTCTGATTTTTAAAACTTGTAGCAGTCTTAAAAAAGACTGACCTCAACCTTCAGAAAAAATTTTTTTGGGGATTGTGTCATATACCAAGACTAGATCACTGAGGTGTGGTGAGAAGGTAGAAGCCAGGGCAGAAGAGTAGTTCTCAAATTGTGCTCCCCTCAGAACACACCTTTCTGTTTCGAAAATCAAAATGATAGAGGCTTTTCTCAACCCGTAGAAAACAGGTATTTTCTTCCATTTGTAAATGTTAATTCTTAAGTGCCAGAAGTTTGTTATTCTGAATACTGACAGAAAACATTGTTAATGGGGAAACTCAAATGTGATTTTAAAGACATATTTTTTTATATATTGAGTTGTGTTTTTTTGTAGTAAAATTCCTAGTTTATATGGTTACATTAAATGATGTTACAGTTTCATGTTGATCTGCCCCAGAACCAGTTTGGGAACCATGATCTATCCTGGTTAATGGGTAAATAATGAATGTTTACAATACTCAACACTGTCTCCGCTGCCCTCTTAATCATCTCCTGGGGGGTTATGTTTAACAAAGCTAATGAAAGTCCTCGTATATTCAAATTCTGGCCCAATAATTGAAATTTTGACATCAATAAAGTGTACCAAACTGGGGAAAAAAAGGTGTGTTTTGAGTCCATAATTGCACGTGTCTCAGCGGGAGGTGTTCGGCTGTTGGATAGCAGGCAGTGCTGGCCCATCAGCTTTCTTTGCTAAGTGAACAGAGCTGGCTTGGGGGAGGCTCTGCCTTACGGATACCAGGTCATCTCTCCTGGATTCACAGCAGGGACATGACTGTGAGAGGAGGTCGGGTCTCTTTCAGGTGCATGTTTGCCTACAAGCTGGGTCTGAATGACTTGCCCCAGTCAGTCGCCTTTTTCAGTACAGTCGATATCGACCAGTGCCTCAGGAAGGAAGTGACCATGGATTGTAAAACCCCTTCCAACCCAACTGGGATGGAAAGGAGATACGGGATTCCCGAGGGTGAGCACAACACCTTGTTCCTCGTGACTCGTAGAACGTGAGGCAGACTAGAAAGTGGTCTTGGCATGAAGCTTGGGGCACCAGAAAATAAGTCTACTTCTTGTGCTGTGTTCTGGGCTGTTTCAGTTTATAATGTGCCCTGGCTCCAAAGTGAGCATGATGCTCAAATCACAAAGGCATGTGTTTCTAGAGAGCTGTTCATAGTAAATGAAGGAATGTTTGAAACTCTGGTTTCTTCCATCTGTTCCCTTCCCTCTTCAACCACAACGGAAACGTTTGAAGATTTAAAGTCAAAGTACATTCTTAAGTGAAAAAACTGCTTTGAGTGCCAAACAAGTAAATCAGAAAGCTTATTTTCTATGTGTCTAAGATAAACTTATTTTATACAAAAAAGAAAACAGATCCTTCCCAAATGTAACACTACCATTCTTGGCAATTACTCTGAACCTTTCAGTACTTTTCGACCTTAACGTTAATTAAGCTCCTTTTCTCACTTCTGACCTGTGAGTTAACAATTCTTGAGGAAGCATCCTAACCAATTTGCACTATTTTTCAGGTGAAGCACTGGATATTTACCAGATAATTGAACTCACCAAAGGCTCCCTGGAAAAATGAAGCCAGCCTGGACCATAGCTCTGCCTGGAGGCTCTGTATTTGCTCCCGTGGAGCTTCACCGGGGCAGTGCAGGCTCCTAAACTCAGGCTTTCAGCTGTGCTTTTTTGCAAAAGGGCTTGCCTAAGGCCAGCCATTTTTCAGTAGCAGGACCTGCCAAGAATGATTGCCTCTAACTGATGGTGCAATTAGTTCAGAACCAAGATGCCAACACTGGTGCAGGCTGTAGGACAAGGGGGCATTGTTGCTTGCTGGGTGGAAAGAAAGCAGAAGCCCCAAAGTTCACATTAACTCAGGCGTCTCGTTTATTTTTTCCTTTTCTTCTTGGCTGGTTCTTTGTTCTGTCCCTCATGCTCTGATGCAGTGCCCTAGGGGAGAGAAGTAACGCTCTAAATGTGATAAGCCTGCTCGGAGGCAGTGGAAATAAAAACAAAGATCCTTTATCTTCTCATCAAAGCCTGTGTTAGTCATGCTTTCTCCCCTTTCCCACTCCTGGGAGGTAATTATGTTGGAGAAGGGGAGAGTTCTACAGTAGAGTGAGGTGGTGCTAACTTCTTTTTTGGGGGCTTTTGTTATACTTGGGGACATGCCTGGGACGAGATGACAGAGAAGGGGCATCAAGATGCTACATAACTCCCCTGAACTCAAATGCCTAGTAGGCAAAGGGAGTGAGTGGATGGGGCCGGGTGCATTATGGCTTGGAGTGTGATAAACTGAAGAATGCAAGTTAAAAATTTTTGAGATGCTAGAAATCCACGGTGTTTTATGTAAACTTAAACCTGAGGTGATAGAAATTTTAGGCACTAGAGATGCTATAGGGCTCACGGTGTGCTGCTATAACTGGTTTGTTCCTCTCCCTTTTATTTAGTCTTATCAGAGGGCAAGAGGAGGATAAAAAACTGGCATGACAACCTGAGGGCATGAAAGAGGAAGTAAACTGCTTCCTGAGCTTGGGCTCGTGATTTTCCATTGGTTCAAAAGATCACAGGGGAAGACCCACAGAAAGGGGTCTTGTTTTCATCACCCCCTTTCTGGAAATGTCTACCCAAAATGTATAGAAGCCTGGGCAACTGGGTATGGTTCCAAGTTTACAACCCCTCTCTTGAGGAGCCTGTTTCATCTTTGTCTGACCACCTTTTGGCCTGTTCTCTGTGGTTGTTGCCCCTCCACTAACCCGTGGCTGCCCCCAGACAGGCTGCTAACCCCAGTTAGAAAGGGTGGCTAGGGCTTGCTGCACTTCAGTCAGAAGCAGGCACTGACCTCTTCATCTTCATCCTCATCCTCTTGAAGAACCATGTCCAGGATGTTCCCTTTGATCTTGAAGTCTCGTGAGGTGCTGAGCTTTATATGCTGCATCAGGTTCACCTGTGACAGGATTGTAAACGTGGGCACATTTTCCTACTGATAGGTCCTGCCCAGGACAGCCTAAACCATCTCTGACAAACCCTTTAGTTCCTCTAGGAAGGCACACACCCACTTGAATCCATGAATGTTTGGATTCAGGCCATCAGAAACAGAAAAGAACTGTAGATTTCCCCCCCACTGCAGTTGTGTTGCTTCAGTTTGCCAGGTCCCTTCACAGGGTAAATGGAATTGGTAGAAAACAGTATGTTTACCTTGGACCTCTTAGAAAGGTGGATGAGAAATTTTTCATACTGTTCAATGGCAAAGATGAGATTAGGGATTGGCTTGGTTTCCCGAAGAGCTCTGGCCTACAGGGCAAAGAAGAGAAGACATAAGTTTTGGGTTCAAGGTTTTTTTTTTTACATAAATTTATTTTTGGCTGCGTTGGGTCTTTGTTGCTGCGCACAGGCTTTGTCTAGTTGTGGCAAGCGGGGGCTACTCTTCGTTGTGGTGTGGGGGCTTCTCATTGTGGAGGCTTCTCGTAGAGCACGGGCTCTAGGCGTGCGGGCTTCAGGAGTTGTAGCACGCAGGCTTCAGTAGTTGTGGCTCACGGGCTCTAGAGCACAGGCTCAGTAATTGTGGCACATGGGCTTAGTTGCTCTGCGGCATGTGGCATCTTCCCGGACCAGGGCTCAAACCCATGTCCCCTGTGTTGGCAGGCGGATTCTTAACCACTGTGCCACCAGGGAAGTCCCTTCAAGGGTTCTTAAAGTCCTCTGAAGCTGTCTGTAGCAGAACTGCTCGTGGCTTTGGGAGAAAGCTAGTCAGTCTTCCAATCAAATGCAGTTTTACTTATATACCAGTAATTAAGATTTTTTTAACAGTTCATTCTCAGCAAAGGACCTAAATGCTAATGGAGATTGCAATGAATCCTCCTATTTACAATTCCTAAATATCTGTTATCTAGAAACTGGCTGAGGGATGAACCATTTGTAGATATTTGGTTGCCTGACTTGATATTCTTGTAACAATGAGCCCACTCTACACTACCTCTATTTCCTCTCTCTAGTCTACATGAGTTTTCATTGCTGGTATTAATATATCTCTTTCCCCTCAACTTTAATTGTAACTTGTAGATCCTTCCATATGTTTCTTAAGTATATAGACATGTTTCTATATATTTTTTTTGAAACTACAAATGAGGACATTGTTTTCATCTTTTTTTTTTCTTTTTAACATTATCTTGGGAGAGAATCCTATATCTGAACATTTAGATTTGTATTTTTTTCATGTCTGCATAATATTCTGCAGTATAAATGTACTATAAACCCATTTAGCCAGTCCTTTATTAGTGGGTATCTTAGTTTTCCCAGTATTTCACTTTTACTTTACAACATTGCTAGGCCTATTCTGTACATAGGCCTTTACAATTTTTATATCCTAAAAATGCAATTGTAGTAAATAGTGTGTGTGTGTGAATGTACAGGTCTAAAATTGAGCAGTTATTGCCACACTGCCCCCGTGAGAGAGTAATGAATTCTCACCTTTGGCAGCAGTGCACTAGAGAACCCACTTCCCTGCACCCTCTCCAACTCTTTCACATCCTTTAGGGAGCACCTATTGCACTCACTAACTTTTCCTAAAACCAGTTCCTTTGCAATGGTTATCCTAAGCTATTTCTATTTTTAAAGAAAGAGCTCAAGATTTTCTGGTACTTCCTGAATAAAGTATATGTTTTTTGGTTCAGAGAGAAGATGTTCCATCTGAACATAAAGTCCATGAGCTGAGAAGGAGCCATACATGTCCCCCCCCAGCTTTACTGAGATATAATTCACCCATTTACATTGTACAGTTCGGTGTTTTCGTGTATTCAGAAGTTGTATAACCATCACCATAATCAATTTTAGAACATTTTCACCCCCGCCCCCGAAATCCTACACCCATTTTAGCAGTCACCTTCCCAGTTTCTATAACACCCCCCTTCCCCCCACTCCCCAGTTGTAGGCAACCACTAATCTGTCTTTTTAGATTTGCCTTTTCTGGACATTTCCTATAAATGGACTCATTATGTAGTCTTTTTCTGACTGGCTTCTTTCACTTAATTTCAAGGTTCATCAGTAACCACATTTTTTTTTTTTTGGCTGTGCTGTGAGGCATGTGGGATCCCAGTTTCTTGACCAGGGATCAAACCCATGCCCCCTGCAGTGGAAGCTCGGATTCCTAACCACTGGACCGCCAGGGAAGTCCCAGCAACCACATCTTGATCACTGTCAACAGCTTACCATGGCTGTGGGCCCAGCAGCGGTTTTCTCCTTTTTCTTTTCTCCTGTATGTTTTAGGCTCTTACTCTTCTTGTTCTAAAGAAATAGAAACAAATTCTGTCATTGCTGAAGATTGTTCTGTAGAGCTAGCAGGCCAGTGGCAAATTTCTAGTATGATGATTACAGTGGAGTATGGGGGAACTCTTAGGGGGACCAAGTCTGGGTGAAGAGATTATCCTGCAGCAGATGCCAGAAGGTGGGAAGCATTCTGGGACGCTTTATAATCCTCAGATATTTTTCTATTTTTTGTTCGGAGGTTTACCACCTTGCTCTTGGATGCATCTAGCACATGGAAGTGAGGGCAGGACCAACCATTACTATAGCAGGGCAGCCAAGGGACTAGTGAGGCACAAAAGGACTGTCACGGTTAAGTAGGAATAGGTGTTTCCCAACTGAGACGTTAGCTAAAAGGGTTGCATAAAGAAGAAGCTGGAGAAGCTGTTCCCGGAGCGATGTATCTTACATGACAAGTGGTTACATGCTCCAGAAGGGTTTAAAGATCACAGGAACACTTATTTCCCTATGTTGTACATAACTAGAGAATAAAGAGCTCCTGGAAAAAGGAAGAACCAATAAGAAAGGGAACCAAGAAGAACAGGATTCTGATAAGGCAGAAGAGAATTGAGACATGAGTCAGGAGAGAGCACCCAAGTGTGAGGTACACAAACAGGAACCTTTTACCTGAAGGGGAGTTCTGTGCCCTCCAGGAATGGAACATTACCACGTTCCATGTGACAAGGAAAAAAATTAAAAACAGAGACCTGCAAATGGAGACAAATTATACTACTGGAGCTATATGAAAGGCAGGAGGCTTGGTCCACACGGCATGTTCTGGAAAATAAGAAAATGTAGGGATCCCAGAGATGCTGGTATGAAGAAACTTGCTTTTGGCCCTGGAAGGTAGGGTAGAGGGTGAAGACTTTTTAAGGGAGGGGCAGAGTATCAGCCATAGATAGAACTCATGTGGACCAAATGGGAAGTGAGCCATCTTCCTAAAAGTTGTACCTAACATGGCACCTTGTTGGAACTCCCTAAATCAACCCCATCTACTGCCCATTTCTGCTGATTCAGGTAGGACTAAAATTGTAGCTGGAAGAGAAGCACCTTTTTTTTTTTTTTTAAGATGCTGGGGGTAGGAATTTATTAATTATTTTTGCTGTGTTGGGTCTTCGTTTCTGTGCGAGGGCTATCTCTAGTTGTGGCAAGCGGGGGCCACTCTTCATTGCAGTGCGCGGGCCTCTCACTATCATGGCCTCTCCTGTTGCGGAGCACAGGCTCCAGATGCGCAGGCTCAGTAGTTGTGGCTCACGGGCCTAGGTGCTCCGCGGCATGTGGGATCTTCCCAGACCAGGGCTCGAACCCGTGTTCCTTGCATTAGCAGGCAGATTCTCAACCACTGTGCCACCAGGGAAGCCCAGAAGCATCTTTTAAAGGTATACAGTTCTGAGCAGGATGCTAAGGGTTTTGGAGCAATGGCTTTCATTGCTTTCTTCCCACTGAGATCCAAGGCTATGAGAAAAAGAAAGGGGCTATAAGAGAATAAACAGCTCTCTGAAAGATGTGGCAAATGCAATCCAGATTTCTAGATAGAAGCTGGAGTTAGTGGAACCATGGGCTCTTGCCCAAAGTCACTCATTAAGCACATCTCACAAAGAGAAAAATGTTTGCCTGTGGATCAGCTGACTTGTCAAGTAAGGCTTTAAGTCAAATATGAATCGAGAAGTGGGGGGAAATATCCAGGGAATACATAAACTGGTTTTTCTGTAATGTAGAAAAAAAGATAGTCTAGAAGGTGCCTGGTGATAAGCAGAAGAGCTTGAGAATGGGGTCAAACACAAAACCCCAAAACCTCCCAACATTTTACATGTCAATGAATACCAAGTATGATTCTAGAGCAAGGGGTAACCAACTACAACCCAGAGGCCCACTGCTTGTTTTTCAAAATAAAGTTTTATTAAACACAGCCAAGCTCATTCATTTGTGTATTGACTATGGCTGCTTTTATGCTACAACGGCAGAGTTTAGTTGTGACAGTGACTGTATGGTCTGCAGAACCTAAAAGCATTTACCATCTGGCCTTTTGCAGAAAATGTTTGCTGACCCCTGTTGTAGAGTCAAAGTACTTGGGTTCAAGTCTCAGCTTGGCCTCTTAACTAGCTGTTCTTGGTCTTTTTTTTTTTTTTAATTAATTAACTTATTCACCTATTTATTTATTTGGCTGCATTGCATCTTTGTTGCTGCACGTGGGCTTTCACTAGTTGCGGAGAGTGGGGGCTACTCCTTGTCGCAGTACGTGGGCTTCTCATTGCGGTGGCTTCTCTTGTTGCGGAGCATGGGCTCTAGGCATGCGGCTTCAGTAGTTGTGGCACACATGCTCAGTAGTTGTGGCTTGTAAGCTCTAGAGCGCAAGCTCAGTAGTTGTGGCACACGGGCTTAGTTGCTCCGCGGCATGTGGGATCTTCCCGGACCAGGGCTCGAAACCATGTCCCCTGCGTTGGCAGGCAGATTCTTAACCACTGTGCCACCAGGGAAGTCCTGTTCTTGGTGTTTTTAATACCTAATATTACTATTTGGCAGAACGTTCCATAGAGTTCAGCTTGGGAAACGATGCTGTAAAGCCACGTTCATTTTTTAGAACAGCTAACATTAGAGAACACTTGCCTGGTGTTGTGTTAAGCACTTTCCATGCATCACCTCATTCATTCTCACTATGCCGCTACTTTACTTACATTCCCAAAGGATGCCCAAAGGCATGGATTTGGAATCACCCAGAAATAAACCAAGTCACTGAGCCCAAGCATGTTTGTTTCTCCCCTGCTCCAAGTGTACACATATCAAATGCCTTCTCTCTCTAAATCAAACTTTTTTTTTTATATATAAAGATTTCCTTGCTGTAAAGACTTCAAACCTTGGCTTGTTCTCATATGGGCACCTTTGGCTTACTGTAAGTAGGGAAGAAACTTTATATACGCTTAGCTCAGGTGACCTAGTGGTCCCCTGGGAATATAAGGAGTCCTTTCTTACTTGAGGATGCATTTTGGTACAGACTCTGAATCACTTACCTGTATGTAAGAAATGAAAGAGTAGCATAGCGGGGTCAGATGCGAACCTGACAGCTTCACCTGCAGCAAAGGAGAAGGAAATCAATGTAACTGGGGGAATAAGATTCTTTCCCCATTCGTAGGAAAGGCATTCTCAACTCACCAGCTTTTCCATATTTTTTGGAATTCCTCTGGAGTGCTGACACACCTGGAGATACTAACAAAAGATTCCAAGATTTAGCATGCCCTCCTATATAAATGTCCCATGAAACTACAGGTAGTGACTCAGTGAGCAAATGGAGTATGACTTATTGCTCTGACTGGAGAGGGAAAAGAAAATAAGCTACCATATTCATGGAGAATCCTAGACTCAAGGCTTCCTTTTTCCCCTCCTCTAAGCTCCAAAGCTTCCCAGACAGCTTAATAAAGGATTTCTGTTTCTGACTTGTTCTCTTTATTGCTTTAAAAATCCTTCAGGCTGGTAGTCCCTGCATCTAGAAAACCAATGACTTTGCTGTTTTTGCTTTAGAAAAAGCCAATAAAGATTAGGGGTTATCAGTATTTCTACCACAGAAGCTTAGTAGCCATACCTTGTAGCCTGAGCTGCACCTTCTCAGAAATGGCCACACTGCTGTTTGGGTACATGGTGTGAGGTGGTCTACTATCTTTCTTGGGTTGTCTGTGCCTTTCTAAGTATTTAATGTGGGTCGTTGCTAGAATCAGAACTAAATTACCTAGTTGTTATCACTCTCTGAATGTCTGCTGAGAATCAAAATATTGCAAGTACAAAAAGAGTTTCTTGTTAACAGATACTAAGAAGCATTAACTTAAACCCAGGGCAAGTTATGCCTTTTATTTTTTTAAAAATAAACTTATTCCCTACCCTGGTACCTGACCTGTGAGGCATTTAACACCCACTTGTTAAAGGAACAAACACCCTGTCAGTGCCCAGACTGGTCTGCAATAATCTAATTTTTTGTGCAGTTGGAATCAGATTAAGTTCTATAACTATAGTTTAGACTGAGTCTTAGAAGGTGTTTGAAGAGGCATTTACTCTCCATCAGGTGCTACATACTCATAGGCTAAAGAAACAAGGGCCTCTAAAAACAGATTTAGAATTGTGCCTCAACTGTTATTTCTGGGCCTGTGGAGACGGCTGTCACCTACTGATCAAACCATCACTTGCAAAGATGTACGCAAGAGCTCTCTGCACAGGGGCATTCTGCAGCAGGGGGTAATGTCCTGGCTGGGTGGGACAGAATGATAGTAGTGACTGTCTCTCCAATACTCACATATCTGACAAGCGCTGTAAGAATGGTGTACATTTTGCAAAGGTCCTTTAATAAGGTGTCCACACAGCTGCCTGATGGCAGGGCTGTCTGCACCAGCTCATGGAAAAATGTAAGCAGAGTTCCCAATTGTATGATGATGGCTTTCTCAATGGGATGATTTGGTAGGGTTGCCTGAGAAGAGGCTTCTTCTAAAAGGAAAGGAAACTGGCATATTCAAACCCAACTGGCCTTATTTTCTAGTTCAAGTGAAAGAGATTTAGAAACGAACAAAACATCATTAACTAGGAAGTCTGTAGGGAAAATGAGCATGTATTT